TTTTAATTAGCAATATTTATATTACATAATTTTATTGTCTTTATTGTTGAATATTTTAGGATAATGTCATGACACATCTCATATTTTATATTATTTTCTTGAAAAATACTTTATATAGTTGTATCTTACTAGGATTAAAGAATTTTTTTGAGAAAATGTTATATATTTTGTTCTACGAAGATTTTATCGGAAAAAATACCCGAAAAAAACCGAATAACCCGAAAACCCGAGAAAAACTAAGATTGAAAAATTCGAATTTTATTGGTTTGATTTGGTCTTTAAATTTAATAACCCGACATAATTGATTTGATTTGATAATTGTAAAATCCAAACCAGCATGGCCTATGTACACTCCTAACCAAAAGTATAGAGTTGACGTCAAATTAATACCTTCTCAAAATTAACCTTTTAAATCATAGAAGTGTACTTTTTTAGAAACCTAGGTAAAATTTAGGAGCCATCAACAACTTGCATAAGGCAAGGGAAATCACCAAACAAATATTGTGGCGGAGTAATAAACACTTCTTCATTCTTAATAAAAAAAATACGTTTGAGTCCTGGATATGGAGTCGATCGCCTTTATTAGGAAATGTTTTATCCCATATGAGATTTTCCAATGTAAATTCGGATTTAGTGGGGCCCTATACAGATATCAGACACCGAGTGGGAACAGAAAAAAATAAGGGAAGTCAACACGGTTCAATAATCAATACCAAGGGTACCACCACCATGTGATTTTCATAATAAAAAAATGATTTAATAAGAGAATGTCAAGTCAAAATACAAAGTACACAAGTTGTACACACAAGACGTTACTTTGTTTGTATCATTTTTTGGGCTCATAAATCATTATACGTCACATTCAAGAAGATAATATGTCTTCACGTGGAAGGGTTCCGTAGCCATGTGGTTATGAAGGGCAGTCGGCAGCACAAAACTTGGAAGTGCAGGGATAAGAAAACTACTTAAAGAAGAGAGAGAGAAAGACCACGATTCAAAGAGTGCGGTGAAACGATTGAGATCTCTTCGGTTTTAATTAGAAATCTCGGGATCGAACTTTGTAACTAAGTAGAGGACTTCTTAATAGTAGGTGCTTTATCCTTATATCATGCCTGCACTGCATGCAATATATCCAGTATATTTTCACAATTAGGATTTAGGGCGATAGTGTGTATGCAGACTTTACGTTTATCTTATGCAGGTAAAAAAGTTGTTTCCGATTGACCATCGGGTCAAGTAAACACAATATCAACAATAAAAAAATGCAACATAAAAAAACTTTCGTACTGCACGCGCAATTTTAAATTAATCGAATCAATAAATTTCGAATGCTAAATAATTAAAAACATAAAGAAAGAGAGAGATCTCTTCAGTTTTAATTAGAAATCTCGGGATCGAACTTTGTGGCTAAATAGAGGACTTCTTAATATATAGTAGGTGCTTTATCCTTATATCGGGCCCGCACTTCATGCAACAATAATATATATAGTATATTCTCATAATTGTAGTTTGGGGAGGATAGTGTTAGGGGCGGAGGCAGAATGCGGAATGCGGGTTCGGCCGAACCCAGTAGCTTTTGTTCAAACTATATATTTCTCTTAAGAAATCCTCATTGAATATGTACAACTTATTAATTTAGAACCTAGTAACTTAAAATGATTACAATCCCGAACCCCATAAGGTTCAAATCTTGGCTCCGCTTCTTGGTAATGTGCATGCAGAACCTTACGCTTAGCTTATACAGATAGAGAAGTTGTTTCCGATAGACTCTCGGCTCAAATAAGTACAATATCAACAGTAAAAATACGATATAATAAAACAACAAGTCATTTTTCCACAGCATGCATAAATTCGAATTAGTCGAATCAGTGAATATCAACCAGCTAAAAAAATAAAGGAGAGAGATGTGAGGGTACATAAAAGCTTATCTAACGGATCTTGCCTGCCTTATTATGGCTCCCACGCTATCCTTTTAAAAAACTGTAGTCTAGGTGAGATGTACATTCTATATAAACCCTTTTGTATTCTTTGTAAATAGAGAGTTGGACATATAACTCTTTGTCAAAACAGAAAAATGACTTCTTGGGTCAAAACAATTACTACTCCTTTTAGAAAAGCTCGTACTTTTTTCAATAATCAACAATCACCAAGAGATTCACCAAGAGATAAGAAGTCACAAGAAGAAGGTATGTACATGCAATATTTGTGTATGATAATCCAGTTTATATTGTGTTAGTTCATAAGTGAATCTAGAACGGGTCCGTAAGTTCAACTGAACTCATTGCTTTCTGATAAAAATCACTTATATATGCAAAAAAGGAAATTTTGAAGAGCAAATATATGTATAATAGTTCATATCTAATCTGACTCTAAATCTTGAATTCGCCTTAGTGTGTTAGTGTGATTTAGAGCCGCTTGAGTAGGTTCAACTGAATCTACTATTTTTAGTTCGATTCACTTATACATAGGCGGAAGGTGAACCTTGGCGTAATTGGTAAAGTTGCTGTCATGTGACCAGGAGGCTACGGGTTCGAGTCGTGGAAACAACCTTTGGAAAAAATGCAGGATAAAGTTGTATACAATAGACCCTTGTGGTCCGGCCCTTCGCCGGATCACCGGACCAGCCACTTATATGGGAGCTTAGTGCACCGGGCTGCCCTTCACTTATACATAGGCCAAAAAATTAAAGTGAAAATATATAATCCACTACATTCGTTCTGAATTCGTTGATTTTAAATCTTGAATTCGCCTCTGGTCGATTTTTTGGCCTTGTTGTTTAATTTTTGCACATATTTTTTTGTATTTGCAGATTCAGAGAACCATGTAGTAGATTTGCAGGGTGAAGTAATGGCTTGTGCATATGAAGATGTTCAGGTGATGTGGTCAATTTTAGACAAGTCCAAGGCCATTAGAACCTGANCCCCCCCCCAAAACCCCCCACCGGGGAAAAAATGAAGAAAAACATAACAAGAACGAACAAGTTCTTCTGACACCATTTTTTTTCTTTTTTGCTATTTTCTATGATCAACGAAAATCATGGATAGATTCACTGTACTGGGTTTGTATTTTGTAATTATCTCGATGCAGTAAAAATTAATTATTTATTCATTTTATCCAATCTGATAAGTGTCTGAAAAGAATTTAACGCATCCCATAATTATAGTTCTAAATTCTAATTCCCGAATCTGGTTGAGGTGCTGCACTAACTTTATTAGCATGATTTTCAAGTTTCTGTAAAAAAAAAAAAAAAAAAAAAAAATCGGGTCATAGACAAGTTTATTCATGCATAACGACGCTCAAAAGAGTTGTGATGGAATAATAAATACTTCTTTATTCTTTGTCCTTCATCGTAGAATTTTATGGCGAGAATCTGAAATTATATTGGAGACATAGTTAAGTAAATAAAAGTATGTTTTCTCTAGCAGCTTAAGCTTTTATATGAGATGGTCATATACTATAACATGGTATCAGAGCAGGCAGAAGTTTGAGTTTGAGTCCCATCGCCACTCAATATCAAAAGAATTTTTACGTGCTTGACTCATAAAAAAGAATCAAGCCCGTACGTGAAGAGACGTATTGGAAACATAATCAAATAAATAAAATTGTGCTATTAGGTTTAAGTCCAAGGAATATATACAATGTTGCTTCCAAATGTCTCACGTGTAGCATCTATTTCCCATGAAACTTCCTTCTTTTCTTTTTTGGTGTCATTTGCACAACCTTTTCTGAAGTAAAAAAAAAAAGGAATTTGGTGTACTAAGCTCCTGTTATACGCTGGGTCCCGGAAAGAGCCGAACCACAAGGATCTATTGTACGCAACCTTACCTTGCATTTCTGCAAGAGGCTGTTTCCATGGCTTGAAGACCTCCAGGTCACATGCCAGCACTTTGCCAGCTACGCCAAAGCTCTCCTCCTAAAGAATCAATATTCTAAAGTAAAAAAGAATCAATATTCTGATCATACGAAAGAAGCTCCAAATGTCAAAGGCTTTACAGATCATACATTTCAACTCCAATTCCTATATCTACTTCAATCATCATTAGTTTAACAACAAAACAAACCAAAAACCTGAAAGAACAAAAGCAAATCTCGAATTTTAACTCCAAAGGTTCAACTTTTAAAGTGATCTAATAAAGTTTTGAAATTATGGAGTCGGAATTTAATATTTGTTAAAACGTTAGTAATTTGCTCTACGTCAAAAATATAGTTCAAGTTCAACCCATATTTAGCTGTAACTTGTAGCACTTTACTTGCCACATCCGTGAAAAGCTTGCTAAAATGAGTCTTTTAGAGCTAGTAAAAGGGCATCCTAGTGCACTAAGCTCCCGCTATGCGTGGGGTCCAGAGAAGGACCGGACCAGAAGGGTTTATTGTACGCAGCCTTACCCTGCGTTTATGCAAGAGGCTATTTCCACGGCTTGAACCCGTGACCTCCTGGTCACATGGCACCAACTTTACCAGTTACGCCAAGTCTCCCCTTCAAAAAGGCAGCTCAGTGCACTAAGCTCCCGCTATGCGCAGGGTCCGAGGAAGGGCCGGACCACAGTGATCTGTTATACGCAGCCTTACCCTGCATTTTTGCAAGAAGTTGTTTTTACGGTTCGAACATTTGACCTAGTGAAGCAACAAAACTCTGATACAAGAGAATGGCCATCATTCATGAGAATCACAATCCCATCTGCAAAACTATATCCTTTTAAGCATGTTTATCTGTTCCCTTTCGTATATAACTACTTCCATCTGGAGGAAAGTGCACTACTGTCCCAAAAAGAGGTCCAGAATTAAAGCAATTTGAACACAACTGGGATTCACAACGGATCCTCGTGAAACCTTCACTCAACGCAGCAATTGACACTCGTTCAGATATGTTTATGGAATAATAACAACCACAGATCACACGATCCGAAGCACGGGCAAGACCTCCACCATGAACATGGCACGACAAACATGCGAAGCGAGATAGTATGAGTGGTTATCACTCTTGCCATGCATTCAAGCAATGGCTACCAAGACAGCAAATGCTTTTTATGGATGTGTTAAAAAGGGCAGAATTCATTGTACATGCTTTCATTTTTTAAATTATCGACTAGTCATATGAATGGCACCTTACAATAGCTTATACTATGGTGCCTACCAAAACTACTTGCAGGGGAATCTGTTGGAAGTCTGAGATGTTCTTCTTTATAGTTGATAGTCTCGAGACAAAGGCCGTGAGGTGGAACTTGCAAGGCATACTTCGCAAGTTCCTTCCTATCACGAGATTCCAAAATCCTAACAACAATATCTGGTGGAACTGCTTGTCTTCCAACTTGAAGCAGCAAAGCAACCTGCCAATGATTTTGAAAGAAAACACTATGCGTTATCTTCAGCTGCATTGCTCAAAAGCCTTTTAATTCAATGGAGATTTAATCATGAAGCCATGACAAAGTAACTGAAGATTTATAAGCATTTGCCTATCACTCAAAAACCCTATTTTACATAGATAAATCATTAAAAAGCAGAGGAAGTTTTATGAAACTCTGTCGCCAAAGTTATATCGACTCTCACTTAATTTCAATTACCAAGGTAAGAATAATCAAGTAACATACCATGTTCCGAACTTGTCTATATAGGAAACCAGATCCTTCAACTTCAAGCCGCAAAAGAGGTCCCTAAAAGCAAAGCACGGCAAAATTCAACTTAAAAACTTCATTGATGGATATATGACCCAAACTTTGGTTTCCCTCAAAACTTCATTGATGGCTCTGTGTGAGAAGAGCATCCAAAATCGAATTACGGAAAACTGAAATGATAAAATCAATTTTGTTGGGATAAAAGTGTCAGTTTGGAGGGCGAAGGAGGTTGGCTGATTTTGAAGTCAGAAGCGGTGATGGACAGTAAGCTTTTCCCTTCATTTTCACTTTAATTTTGTTTCTCTAGCTTTGGTAAACTATTAGCGAAATTTGTAAAGTGCAATCTGAGATATTACATAACTGAAAATACAACAATTTGGTTCAGGAGATATTTACAGCAAAGAAACAAGTATGAATTGCAGAAGAGTGAATAAACAGCAAAGGCGAAGACTGAGAAAGGTTGAGCCTTCTCCTATCTTCTTTGATAAGTAGAAAAGAGTGTTTATTAGGCACCAAATATGTGCTAGAAAAGAGTCTGTTTATTAGGCACCAAATATGTGCCAACTCTTTACACAACATAAAGTACAAAATTTTAAAGCAATGTATACAACCCTTAACTCCTGTAAGAAGTCAGCAAAAGGTCAATGACTGTTAGGCCTTTCAGACTAGTGCCACCAAGGTAAAGTAAACAAAAAGTCAAACCTAAATGAGAGGTACTGAACTGTATCCCTTTAATGCTTTCTGCATCAAGCGCCAGTTTTCCATTCCTACTCGTAATACAGAAATGCCAGCTTAACAAAAGTTCTTCATTGATACTGCAATATAGACCAAGTTATAGAAGGTTGCGCATCTGCCATCACCCCACCGTTTGGATGGTGGATGGGGTGGGTGCCTGCGCCCATTTTGAATAATTCAAGGGATAATGAGGCAGACAGGTTATTGGGAACACAATTGGCCATGGAAAATGATTTGGAAGACAAAAGCCCCTACAAAAGTAGCTTACTTTGGTTGGATTGTAACTTGGGAAGCCTGTTTAACTCAAGAAAATCTCCAAAGAAGAGGTCTTTTTCTGGCTAACAGGTGCTACTTATTTGAGGAGGATCAGGAATCAGTTGAACATCTTTTTCTGCATTGTAGAATTTCTAGACAGTGTTGGGACCTTTTTCCGAGTATCTGTGGTATCTCTTGGGCAATACCTAATAGCATAAGGAGCTTACTCGAGTGCTGGAAAGGGCAGAGGATTCGAAAAGGCTTGAAGCAGATTTGGAATACTATTCCTATATGCATATTTTGGATCTTATGGCTGGAGAGGAATAGAGCTTGTTTTGAAGGACAAAGAAACCTACATTTAGAATTAAGAACAAGTGTTTACAGAATCTTTTCTTATGGTGTACGGGTAGTCTTATTGGTAGCACAAATGAGTATATGAATTTCTAGGGGGCAGACAGTAGATGCAGNTTCTCTTCTAGCTCAATTATATTAGTAATTTGTTTATCTACCATAAATTCTTCCTATTTTTGGGAATTGTATTAAAATTTCAATTCTTCTCTCTTTTTTTGGTATTTTTTATATGCGGGTTCATATTTCTTTGTTAACATATTAAAATTCTAATAAATTAAAAAAGATAATACATATACTTACAAACAAAAGATATTAAAAAAAAATTTAGACGAAAGTAATAAAAAAAAGTATAGAACAATTGAACCTAGTTTAACAAATAGTCATAGATAACTTGATATTACTTTTGCTATTTCAATAATTTTGGTGCAATGCCGGGAAAGCTTGACAAAAAAGGAGTGCGAAATTGCTTTCTGCTATCATATTTGACAGAATATTTTATGATACAGTGGACTTATAAGTCTAGAAAGGCTAAAAGGAATATAAAAGATTAAGTAAAAACTAGTTTAAAGAGAAAGTAATAAAAGTAACGTGGGTCTTGTGATAATAATCATAATATATAAAGGAGACAAGAAATATATTCACACGTAAGTTACTATTTTTATTCCCAAATTATCTCCATCGGTCCCATAATTTCCTTATTTATGAAAGATATATTTTTTTTATATATACTAAATATTTTTAAAAAAAATTCATCAAATACAGATACAACTATTTAATACAGTACCAGAAAATTTTGGGGCCCCTCTAGATATGGGGCTTCAAGCAATTGCTTGAGTGGCTTTACCCTTGAGCCGCCGTTGGCAATAAGCCAGCTCAAGTGTATTTTGTGTAGGCTAATTGATATCTCATATTCAGTAAAGGAATGAATATAGTACCTTTTCAACAACATCAAAGCGAAAAATCGTCTTCACTGGATTTGGCACCCGGTCATTTCGTGATGTATTGGCGAAGGCAGAAAAGTCATGTTTCCCCAAGAAATGCCCTGCAGCCTCTCTCATGACAGCAGCATCAAGTTTATATGTGCTATGGTAAGCATAGTGCCTCGTGAATGGGTCCATGATAGTGGAATTATACACTTGGTAGCAATAAATCTTGCTTGTGACAGAGAAACGAGCATGAAATTCAGGCACCGCAGGGCTAATTTCTCTAACTCTGATATCAAGAGGAAGAAGACCATTTAAACCTTGGTGAACGCCTTCTAACGTTTCATAGTTGAAAGGCGTAATGAAGTGTCCCACCTGAAAGCCAAAGTTGGCTCTAAGTCTATTTTTTTAAAAATCATTTCGTTTGGTTAGTAAGAATCCATTGGCAGGGAAAGCAGACCTGACCCCATGCATGAACTCCTGCATCTGTTCGACTTGCACCAACTGAACAAAGATCTTTGCGGTTTAATTTTGTTATTTTAGTCAGAGCTTCTTCCAGAATGCACTGTATAGTAGGTGTTGACTGCTGATACTGCCATCCTACAGGTTATTCGTCATTCAGGATTGTAGACATAAACAACTGCATCCCAACATACACTCCCTAAATAAAGGGAATTAAAGAGTAAAAACATTAAGCAGGTAAGTTCAACATGATATTATCTAAGAGATCATTGTGGCTGATAAAGAACCACAAAAGAGAAAAAAGACGACCTTGGAGAAAAACAAACTCAAATCACCTACATCAGACGCTAGGACGAAATAGAGAAAAGGGGAACAAACTTTAAGGTGTCAAATTTCCAATTACTACTACCTTCAAAATCTTACTATGCCCGTCTGACTTGCCTAGTTCACTTCATCAGGGTTGACTTGATTAATTTTCAGTCTAACATCGGACATTGATTTATATATATTTCAAATCTATAAGTATATATTAATACTACATCAAAAACAGTACTAACTACCAAGTTTGAACCCTCAAATTGATTGATAGATAATCATAAAGGTCACAAAAGAAGAATATTACTGCTCTTTGAATAGTAATTAGATAAAAAGGGGAAACCTGGATGAGAAACTCTAAAAAGGATAGGATCCCCCCAACTCAACCCCTCAAAGATTACGTGAACGAACAATGTCCAGCAGATGTGCACATGATTTTGAGATGAATTTGATGCCAAAATGACATTTTAGACCCCTAAACTAACTCTAAACCTTCATTAATTTTCTACAGATGTCGTTGATTATTTATTCTCTTACAAAAGAAGTCTATGATAATATACTATGGCGAAATATGAATAGACGAACAAATTAGCTGTTTATAATAACAAAGAGAGAAGTAACCAACTTCACACTATATCATACTCCGTCAGATCCAATTTATGTGACACAAATTCCTATTAGTCTATCTAGAAAAAAAATGACATTTTCAGATACAATTCAAATTTAAACTTCTACCCTTAGTGAAACTGACATGTTCAAGACAACAAGTTCCAATCAAGGTACAAAAGAATGTAAACTATGAGAGAGGTATCCAACTTCATGCTATATCATACTCCCTCGAACTCAATTTATGTGGCACCATTTCCTTATTAGCAACAATAACAACAAACCCACTTTAATCCCATAAGTGGGGTTTGGAGAGGTTAGCGTGTACGCAAACCTTACCCCTACCCTAGAAAGGTAGAGAGTTTGTTTTCGATAGACCCTCGGCTCAAGGAACAATAAAAATAAAGCAACAAATAATACCAACAGCAATGTAATAGGGTAATAGAAGCGAATGGTACAACATGTAATAAAGAACCAGGAACAAGAGAATACAATAATAGCACTACAGGTAAGCCTAGTAGAAATTCACAACTACTTGTCAACTTACAACCCTAATCCGCGATAACCACACCTTACTGGTCATTTCCTTATTAGCCTATTCTATAATAAAAAAATAAAAAAAATAAAAATAAAACTAAATTCGGAAACAATTTAAATATAAACTTATTCTCATATTACCTTAATGAGTAAGCTTGCATAGCCACAATGTTATGACATGTTCAAGATCACAACTTTCAAAACTTTTCTTTTTTTTCTTAAAATTCCGTATTAGTCAAACTAAGTGATATAAATTAAAAACCAAGGAGAAAATAAAACCTGAGAATCTGGTACCGTCGTAAGCAATAACAAAACGCCATTTATAAGCTGGTAATGACAATTTCACCGCTTGACCCTTATTTGGATCTTCGTCCTTTCCACTCCAATTCTGTTAGTATATTACAATTAAGCATCAATTTGAAAATACAAAAAAAAAAAAAAAAAAAAAAAAAAAAAAAAAAAAAAAGGTAAAGTCAAGTGACAACAGAATAGCAACATACAGAGGTAGAATTGGAAGAAGACGGCTCGAGAGTGGGAAGTGATGGAAGTGCCAAAGCTGCTGGAAAACACATTCTTCATTCACATTTATCAGTCTACGAATTTTTTTCCAATTTCTAATCAGAGTTCAGCTGTGAGTGTTAAATCCGAAAATCTGTTCATTTATCTGGACTCTTGTTAAAAAATTTGGGAGAAAATGACAAAAAGGGTTTCTTATGTTTGGTATAGGTTTAAAATAGTCTCTTAAGTATATTCTTGTGTAATTTTAGTCCATTAAGTTTGTTAAAAGTGAGATTGATCTATATAAAACAATTAACAAGCTCTTGTTGTTAGATTTAACGGAACTGTAAAAGAAGAATTGATAATTATCACTCTAGAAACTACATCAAAAATTGCAAAACACATCAGAAATAAATCAAATATAGATTGTAACTTAAAAACCTCCTCCAGATATTAGAAATAGATTTAAAAAGTAGCATAAATTGTAAGATTTGCACCTCCAGACGTGTCTCATAAATCATAGTAATTTCTTTTCACCTTTTTTCGTTAAATCTTGCAACTAAAATTTGTTAAATATTGAATTCGTTTTGACAAACTTAAAGAAGCAAAAATACTCTGAATATATTTAAAGTGTTATAAAATAAAGAATGCAAAGTAAAGACAAGTATAAAGAGCAATTGATATATTATTCGAATTCAAACTGATGTACATAATGAACTGAAATCTCTTCTATTGTGTAAGCTGCTACTATATCAGATATGAATAATCTTCTACTGAGAGCAATGTTTATCCATAACGGAGTACTGAATGGATAAGCTCATTGTACCCAGTATAGATAATCTTCTACTAAGGGTAATGATTATCTATAACGGAGTACTGAAAGGATAAACTCATTGTACCCGATGTGGATAATCTTCTACCGGGGATAATGTTTATCCATAACGAAGTATCGAAAGGATAAACATATTATACCCGGTATGGATAATCTTCTACCGGGGGTAATGTTTATCCATAATCGGGCACCGAAGTGATAAGTTACTTCAGGAAGCTTATTTCCAATAGAGTACTAAATAGATAAACATATTGACGGCGAATTCTCATATGGATAAGCTTTTTCAGGAAGCTTATTTACAACGGAGTACTAAATGAATATCTATAATATAATATATTTATAACACTCCCCCTTGGATGTTCATTAAAAGATAATGTGCCTCATTAAAACCTTACTAAGAAAAATCACGTGGAAAAAATCCTAGTGAAGGAAAAAGAGTACACATATTTAGTAATACGCATTGCTATGTGCCTCATTAAAAATCTTATAAAGAAAACCTCATGAAAAAAAAATCTTAGTAAGGAAAAAAGAGTGGATCATGTATTTTACTCCCCCTGATAAAAACCTTGTTTTAAATATTTGAGTCTCCGCATTCCAATCTTGTATACCATCTTCTCAAAAGTTGAAATTGGCAAAGATTTAGTGAATAAATCTGCTGGATTATCACTTGAACGGATTTGTTTTACATCAATGTCACCACTTTTCTGAAGATCGTGTGTGTAGAATAATTTTGGTGAAATGTGCTTCGTTCTTTCTCCTTTTATAAATTCTCCCTTCAATTGGGCATGCAGCATTATCTTCGTATAAAAATGTGGGGGTTTTCTCACATTCCAAACCATATTTTTCTCGAATAAAATGAATTATTGATCTCAACCATATGCATTCCCTATTTGCTTCATGAATAGCTATTATCTCAGCGTTATTTGAAGAAGTAGCAACAATAGATTGTTTTGTGGAGTGCCATGATATGACAGTACCTCCATATGTAAATACGTACCCGGTTTGAGATCTAGCTTTATGGGAATCAGATAAATAACATACATCTGCATAACCAACAAGATCTGCACTATCTTTGTTAGCATAAAACAAACCCATATCAAGAGTTCCCTTTAAATATCGCAATATATGCTTAATCCCGTTCCAATGTCTCCGTGTAGGAGAAGAATTATATCTTGCTAGTAAATTAACAGAAAATGCTATGTCAGGCCTTGTAGCATTAGCAAGATACATTAGTACACCAATTGCACTGAGATAGGGTACTTCGGGACCAAGGAGTTACTCGTCCTCTTCTGGAGGTCGGAACAAATCCTTATTCAATTCAAGTGATCGAACAACCATTGGTGTACTCAATGGGTGCGCTTTGTCCATGTAAAAGCGTTTTAAGACCCTTTCTGTATAGGTAGATTGATGGATAAAGATCGTGTCTGCTAAATGTTCAATTTGCAGACCAAGACAAAGTTTTGTCTTTCAAAGATCTTTCATCTCAAATTCTTTCTAAGATACTGTGAGCACGTGATTTTTGTTCACACGACAATTACTCCAAAAGAAATAAAAAATAATAATAAATTGTCTTTTGTGTATAATTTTGTGAATTTGCTTGGCATTTTTGTAGTTTTTATCTGTGATTGTTTAGTTTTATCAATTGAAAATAAAAAATATATGTGTCGCGTGTAAGTTTAGGATATCGTTCTACTATTAGGAATTAATCAAACCATAATTTAGTTTTAGGAAAAAACCACAAAAGATACGCATCATTTTTTGTCAATTGAGTGATTTTATTTCAATTAAATGTTAATATTGTGATAATTGTTGTTTAAGTAGTAATTAATATTAGTATAAGTTTTATTTTTGATTTTTACAATTTAATTAAAAATTGTTTTGTTTAGAAATTAAAAGAAGAAAAAATTAAAGAAATCTGGAATTGGGCTCAAATTTGAGACCAAGAAATCAGGCCCAATAATGGCATAACCCAGTCCGTTTCCCTGATCTCTATAGCCTCACCAAACGACGTCGTTTAGGGACTATCAGATCTGAACCGTTGATCAAACATATCTAACGGTCCATTTCAACTCCCATTTTAAACCAAACGACGTCGTATAAGGATATTCAATCGGAGCCGTCCATCTTGGTCAATCCTACGGTCTCCAACACANTTGAGAACACTTCGATTAAAGTCCGTTCAACCCCAAAAGAGGTTCGATTCAAAATCCGAGACAAGGCAGTCTGATTTTTAACCCTTTAAGGTATTTCTTCTTCTTTTCTTTGTTAATTCCATGTTGTTTGTTTTGTTATTTTTTGTCCGTATGTTCAAATGTTTAGTTGATTTATTTTTATTGTCGACTATTCTGTCCATCTTTCCCGGACCTTTTATTTGGTCGAGTTTTTCTCTATTTTACTGATTGGGTGTATGTGTGTAAACTATATAATCGACTGAAAATGAATTTGGTCGATTAATTAGTTTCGGGGTTAACTTTGTTTTGACAGTACAATTTGCACCTCATGTTAATACTGTTCGATTCTGATTCATTTGGTATGAATTGAATGTGTTGTAATTCGCGTAGTCGATTCGATACATGTCGTCAATTAGTTTCAGTTTGGAATGGTAGTAATTTGACTCATGTTGGTTGAATTTTACTCTAAGCAGTCGAGAATTGATTACATTGTGTGTTAGCCGGTTTAATTTAATCAAAATCACTTAAGGATTGGTTATAGCTGTTAGTGTTAGCATAGATTTCAGATTGTAGTTTAATTTAATGGCATGTTTACTCATTTTGACTTTGGACAACATGTGCTTTGTTAGTTGTTAATGAATTAGAGTAGAATGGATAGCATGTGCTGTCAGGGAAATTTCATGTTGCCCATGCTTGCTTAATTTAATAAAAGATAGACCATNTTTGACTCATGTTGGTTTAATTTTACTCTAAGCAGTCGAGAATTGATTACATTGTGTGTTAGCCGGTTTAATTGAATCAAAATCACTTAAGGATTGGTTATAGCTGTTAGTGTTAGCATAGATTTCAGATTGTAGTTTAATTTAATGGCATGTTTACTCATTTTGACTTTGGACAGCATGTGCTTTGTTAGTTGTTAATGAATTAGAGTAGAATGGATAGCATGTGCTGTCAAGGCATATTCATANTGTTGGTTGAATTTTACTCTAAGCAGTCGAGAATTGATTACATTGTGTGTTAGCCGGTTTAATTTAATCAAAATCACTTAAGGATTGGTTATAGCTGTTAGTGTTAGCATAGATTTCAGATTGTAGTTTAATTTAATGGCATGTTTACTCATTTTGACTTTGGACAACATGTGCTTTGTTAGTTGTTAATGAATTAGAGTAGAATGGATAGCATGTGCTGTCAGGGAAATTTCATGTTGCCCATGCTTGCTTAATTTAATAAAAGATAGACCATTTTAACAATGAAAAAGGGGGCTGTCAGGGGAATCTCATGGGGGGTACCTTTCTTTTAACTTGTGAGTGGAAAAACAGAAAGGAGAACATGGGGGGAGTTCAGTTGTTTAACAGGCTGGTGAATGGGTTGATTCTAGGATATAAAAACAGAAGGTTTCCACTGGTTTTAGGGGCGGACATTAAGAGTTTAGGGAGAGAGAAAGAAATCAGAAAGAGAGGAGGAGACCAAGAGTTTAAAACCAGAAAAAAAAAAGAGAATTTTCTAGGACCTTAGTGTTTTAAAGCTAGGTTTCACAAAAACGAACTTCAGTTTGTTTTCTGCTCGGAAGTTCAAAATCAGAAGCTACTGTTTTATTGATTCTGCCTGCAATCTTCTTGTACTGCTGGGATTTATCTGCCAGCCTGTTTGTCTGTTGATTCTCAAGTACCACTCTTCAAACAATTGGTTTCTTCTTTTTCCAATCTGTCCTTGAGATTTCTGCCTGGGGTGCTACTGCTGCTGTGACTATAGTTGTTGCTGCTGTCGCTATACTATTGTTGCTTCTACTGACCTTCCTCTTCTTCTCACTTTCCAATTCAGGTACACATTTGAATCTCACACTGATGTAACAGTAACAATGAGTATGAAATGAAAGACGCGAAGAATTTTCAATCATTTGGTGCTGTACCTATAGTCTTATAAAATGTTAGTAAATTTGTGTAATGCTTTAGGTTGTAACTTAATAGCATAATACAGTAGGTAGTTTTTGTACTTAATTGAAACTTAGTCTGTTTAAGTATTGTGATTTACAGTTGTTTGTTTGTATGAATGATATAATCATGCAATTTGTGGAATGCACGAGTAGTTAGCATATCGATAATTAGACTTCATTTTTAGTTATATTTTGTATGTATAAGGTAGAATGC